TTTTTTTTTTTGATAATAGTAAACTTGAGAATGGCAGATTCTCCTAACAAAAACAGTATCAACTGCCACACACAGCTTAGACGATGTGATTGAACAGTTCACATCAGGCTGTGGACTCAGCACTCTGGAGATACAACTTCTTGAAACCTGGAGAGCTAGCTACATTCGAGGTTCCCATTTTATAGATGGGTAATCCAGGGCCCAATATGCTGCCGATATTCACACTCCCGCTGATGTGGCAGAACCAAGAAAAAGAAAGTGCCCGAGGGATTCCAACTCTGGAGCCTATAAGGGCCTTGCGCATCTTTTGAGAGAAAGATGGCAGAAGCAGCACCTCTGGGGGGTGGGCGGTTCCGCTGGTGTTCAGCTCTTGCAGTAAGCCGAAAACTGGGCTGCTGTGTGGAGGCTTCCTGTTCCTTCCCTCCTCTTCTGCCTTGAAGTGGCAAAGCAAAATCATTAGCAGCCATGGAGGCGACATAACCAACGGGGTCCAAATGGTGGGGCAGACGTCAGTGGTCCCACCTGTACCTGTTGGCAGAACCTGACCTGGCAACCCCGTGCTTTTTGGGTACCAGACGGTTACATTTGGGGCCGTGATGCTCACCCTGCTTCCTTGTGAGGATCTAAGCAACTTCGCCGTGTTCCATTGTGTGCTCCTGTTGCTGCCTGTTGCATTGGTTTAAGCAGCGAGTCTTGAACTAATAGGCAGATGATTTGATGGTGTAGTGTCCTACACTATGACTCTGTAGGATTTGGCTCCTAGAATCATTTTCTCTGCCAGTTTCTTCTTTTCCACCCACCCCCCATTCCATTTATCAACCCCTCTAGGGTCTCTTCCTCTTTCTGCTGTCATTCGAGATGCTGTCCCTCCTTGTTGTCCTGTCCATAGCTGCCAGTCATTTCAGGTCCACCCAAGCCCTGGTCCTCTTAGAGAGTTCTTCAACAACTTGTGTTTCTGCCTCCTCTGTCTAACCGCCATGGACACTCTCCAGGCTGAATCACCTCGACAGATTCTCTGATTATCCCAGGGAGATACACAGCCACTTTCTGCTGACCTTATCTTATCTGATCACTTCTGCTCCTCTTGACGTGTGAACGGTGAGAGTGACTGGAATAACTGAAGCCCTGCCCCCTTCAGCCTTGTATGTGTTGGGGGGTGGGGGATAGAACTGATTACAGAAGGCTGTTCCATGTTTGTAGGGGCTCAGTTCCAGGACCCCCCACAGATGACAAGTTCAGGATACTCCAGTCCCTCCTGTAAAATGAAATACTATTTGCACACAATCCACAATCCACATTCTCCCTCATCTGCCAACCACCTGTCTATTAACTTCCATGCTTAATTCCATACAAACACTAGGTTAAAACTTACTCTACTTAGCTGCGAGGGGAGTGATAGTAACAGCGAAGCCTGTAGATGTTCAGAATAAATGCAATTTTGTCAGTCCTAGCTAATGCCAAGATGGTGGGACCTAGAGACGACAAACTGATAGCACCTACCTCCTTAATCAAGATTCTCTACTTCTGGCCTTTCTTTTTTAAATCCCTCCAGCGTCACCACTGGCCAGTGGTTGGCACATCAGCTCACTGGGGACATCTTCAGTGTATAAAGGCTAGCTCCTCCATTGCTCCAGTGCATTTCCTGCCCTCTGCCCCATGCAGGCTGATGATTCTCCCCTAAGTAACAGAGGGCTCCACCCAAGGGCTTTCTGGCTAGCAGGAAGGATGGCTGATTTAGCCACCCTGTTCTGTACAAAGACTCTGAGAGTCCAAAGGCTGGGCGTTCAGTCACTAAACAGTTGCATAAAAGAGGGTTTTCAATATCCCCATCAGACGAACAGGTTCGAGGAAATGTGGTCCTGCTTGGGCTTGCTGTTGGAGAGCCCATGTGTCTGTTCTATTCTAGCTGGTGCCATTAGAGGAATCTTCTGCCTCCTCTCTCTCTCCCATGCACCCTTGCTCCTCCTTCTGCTTCTCCTTCTCCTCTTCATCCTCTCCTTCCACCTCTTCCTATACATATAATCAGGTCATTGTGGAATAAGAGGGAAAACATTATCCCTCTTCCTCCCTGGTTCTTCTAATGTGTCTATCCACATGTTAGAATGTAGGATAATTTCACAATTCAGTTCAATTCTCCCTAATTTTTGCACATTTGGGATGCCACATTCTCGCTGAGTTCAGGAGACATCTTTGTCACATGAAATGTCAGACCACGCAGAGAAGGCTCAATCCCTTTGTAGTGAAAGAAACAGAAAGAGACATGAGACAGTGAACATCTCAGGGTGTTCTGGGGTGTGGGGGGACAGAGAATATGGTGCTCCTGAGGGGCTGGTAAGTTCACATGCCAGAGTCTCTGAGATGGTGAACAGCTTTGGCTCAGGGCATGACCCAGGGAGATCTCAACGGCCAGCAGCGGACACTCACCCACCCTTGCCTGCCGACCTGATCTCCAGTGGCTCATGCAGATACTTTCACGGGAAACTTTTCATACATGCATAAACGGGATATTAACGTTCCAATGAAAGCAAAGTGCAGAAAGATGTTTTGAAATGGGTTGGGTCCACAGTGCGTTCATACATCCATGGAAGCAACTAGAAGCAGCTTCCTTAGGACAGATCGAGTGCTGAGTCCCCGAAGAAAGGAAAGTGCCGTCACATGTGGTATAGGGAAATCGCGCACAGAGGCTGTCTGCGGAGCTTAGATTATTCTGTATGAGAGTTAGTGCGTGAACTCACTCCAGACTCCTGAAGAAGGGAGATGTGTGTTTGGGAGACCACTCCTAAGGGACAGGAGGGAGACTCTGGATTTCAGGGAAGAAGTTGGCACATACCCAGTGGGTCTTTCTACCTGAGGAGAAACAGGTTTCTGATGCAAGTGTGAAAAAAAACTAACATTTACTTATTTGGGCATTTAGGTAAATAATTGACTTCTGTAATTTCTCTGCACTTTCCTAATCCTTCATATTTTTATTTTATTTTTATTTTTGAGATAAAGATTTAATTGCATTCTCTCTTCCCTTTCCTCCCTCCAAACCCTTCCAAATATCCCCTCCCTGCTGTCTTTCAAATTTGTAATCTCTTTTTTCACTGATTGTGCTCAAATATGTACATACATATAAAACCTTTTCCATCCTTGTTACTGTGTTGGTATGTTTCAAGGCTGAGTTGGGGTTATAGTTTAGTGGTAGAAGGTAGAATGATTACCTAGCATGCATAAGGCCCTAGGTTTAATCTCTACTTACGCACACACACAAGTACAAGGATTAATTTTAAGTGTTCCCATTAATACAATGGAACACTACACAACTGGTTTTTAAATGAGGATACTCTTTGCTCTCATATTTTAAAAAAAAATCTCTAAAAGAAAAATACTGCAGAATAGAGAAAACACAAGTTTCAGAAGTTGTGTGTGTGTGTGTGTGTGTGTGTGTGTGTGTGTGTGTGTGTGTGCATATTGGGAATTGAACCCATGGCTTTGTGTGTGCTAGGCAAGCACACTGTCACTGACCTACACCCCAGCCCCTGAGTAGTGTATTTTACCTATTCCAGTCAATTTAAAACCTCTCTTTTTTGCACGTATCTTTCTGTTGCCATAGAGTTAACTCTAGAAGAGAGTTAGCTGACATTTACTGTGAGGTAGAATATGTACATTGTGTACATTAGGTATTCTTATGCTCCATGAATTTTTATCACGATCTTTCACTCTGATGACTATAACAGCAATAATGACTTCTTCCCATGACCTGTGGAACAGATGTCCTGTCATCCAAGCTCCTCCGGGTTAGTGGGCTTCCCATCAGGCTACTCACTCAAGTTTCCACTTGCCGTGTCCTTGCCTGGCCTCTTTCCTGATTTGACACTTGGTTGTCCACACAAGAGTCAGTGACACATGCCAGCCATGGTGGTGATGACAAGCCCCAAACCACATTTGTTCCTCCCAGCTCCTCAAGGCCTTTGCCATCACCACAGTGAGAGCTCCTGTCTCTTATCTGGACGACCAAGAGTCAAAAGTCCTTGTGAGTGTGATTGCAGAACGGGGGCTGGCAAAGCACCTGATAATGCTGAAATTCCTTTGAAGGGACTGTGCTTAGAATGGGGTCAGGAGAGTCTTGTGGCTGTGGCACATTGTGTACTGTTGGGGACCATAAACTGGAGGAGAATGGTTGGTGTGAAATGTGAGGGACAGGTCAGGAGATTGTTATAGCCCCATCTGGTCGGATGACCTCTGTCCTCAACACAACTCTGCTGCCCTAGAAAGACCACCCAGGGGACAGAGGAAGAGTCTTGGGAGTGAGGAGGTTGCTGAAGGGTTTGCAAAGACACAAGATGTTAGACATACAATTAAAATCCACATACTGAGAGAAAAAGAGTCAGGCTGAAGTTTCTGAGATAGCTTTTTAATTAGCGATGCCTTGGTTGAGTGGCTCCTTGGACATGAACTCTGGTGACGCTAGCTAAATCTGACATCTAGGAATTTAAGCTTAGGAGCTGGCCTCACTTCTCCTTATTAGCAAAGTTTGCCAAACATTTTGTGCCATGCACCCTGTTTCATCTTTGAAGATGAAGCAACCGGCAAGCTGTCATTCTGATTCTCTCGCACGCTGGAAAGCCCGAAGGAGAGGGGCAGTCATTCTGCACCAGCTTCCAGAGGCCTCACAGCATGCTTACTCCTTTTGCTTTTCCTGACTTATTTTCAAAGGGACATAGGTTCCATAGAAAGCACTGAAAAATGACCCAGTCAGGAAATAAAGCTTAGCGCATGATGATAGTCTTTGCTACATCACCCGCTTTCCCCAGAAGGCTTCTTTTTATATATACAAGTTTTCTTGTAGAAAATCTAATCATTTAAAATAGATTTTAATACATTTTCGCTCTTCCCTGAGCTTGCAAGCCACTCGGAGAGCCAAGTGAGTGCTTTGGCATAGGAGCAATGCTTAGCTTCAGAAACTGCTCTCTGATGCCCCAAACCACGGATCCCATCTTGCTTTTTCTCTCGCTCAGGTACGGAGGTGAGTTTCTCCAAAGCAGCAGATGCGTTTGCCTTTGAAGAGGACAGCAGCAGCGATGGGCTTTCTCCGGATCACACTCGGAGCGAAGACGCCCAGGGCTCCACGGGATCGCCCCCAGATGTCAAATCCGCTGAGGCGCCTTCGGTTGGTCCTCTGGACACAATCCAGGTAAAACAGACTGCCCCTGCCTCCCAGTCTCGTGGGATCTCTCAGACTTCACATCAACACTGCCGTAGCTGGGTTGCTTACAGCCCTTAGCTCTGCCTGCTGGTGGGTGTGTCTTGAAACAAGGTCTCACTACTCAGGATTCCCCTAGCTCATGCTAAGTGATGGGGTTACAGTCTACGCCAGCACACCCCACTTCCCTGATGATGTACTTTCCTTCACAACCTGTTTGGTGCAGACACTTGTGGATCATAGAATCATTAAAATCCCTCACAGTGTTAGCTTTCATCTGCTTTTTTTTTTTTTTTTTTTTTTTTATGCGTAAGGTAAGTTAATTCATATCACACGACTGGCCAAGGATCCCCTGGCAAGAACTAATGTCAAACTCATCAGAGGGCCTCAGGGGGTGGAAAGGAGGAGGCGCTATCAGCAAAGCAGGAGACACTGGCTCCCTCTCCCCTCATCAGCTGTCTACCCTGTCAACCTGAAGCTAGCACACAGCTCCCACTGCAGCTCAGTCCTCACTCTTTCTGGACAAACCCACAAGTACTAGAAATTGAGGAACTCATAAAGAATAAAATATAAAGCACACTTGCGAACAATAACATCTCCTGTGCTGATGCTCACCTTGGACTCCAGACTCCACTGGGCACTTCATATCGCCTCACCTGAATTCACAGCCTCTTCCAGCTATGCATCACTGATGCCATCATAGGACCCCTAAGGGATGACAGTGGGGGTAGCGGGGAACACCCAGTGGGGAAGGAGACAGTGATCCGGACATGTGATGCTGAAGCACTTTTCATCCTGGGTTTGCAACACTCCTCTCTAGAAAGAGGTCTCTAAGCCCCTCCTTCCACTTTCAGATGGTCAGTCTTCCTGGTCATCAAGGGACTGTTCCACAGAGGGAAATGAAATATCTACTTTGGCTATCCTTTACCCAAACTGCTGGGAACCAGAAGTGTTTAGATTTAGAGTTTATCTGCATCCATTCATAATAATATGTCTTGGGGATAGAATCCAAGTCTAAACACAAAATTTATTTATGTCTTAGATATACATACATGCCCGCAGCCTAAATGTAATTTTATATAGTATTTTTTAATAACTTTTGAGCACGAAGCTAAGTTCTGTACCATGGCATTTTCTTCTCACGGCTTCTTGTCGGCCTCAAAATATTTCAAATTTTGAAGCATTTCAGATGCTGGAATGTTGGATTATGGATGTTAGCCTTGTATTTGAAATTATTTTTCTACGGAAATGTCCATCCAGACAGGGGGAAGTTGCAGTAATGTTTATTTAGGGTCCACTTTCCCAAAACTGTACTGGCCGCTGGTCACTGTCACTCCTAGCTCCACTCCATCACAGTGAACTTAAAGTTGCCAAGAAAACGTGAAGTGGGAAGGAAAGAGAGGCCTAAGAATCAGGGCTGAATGTGCGCTCCTTGTGCAAGTGTTCATCATCAAAGTATCTCCCTTCCCCTGCATGCCCTCGCTGAGCTCTGCAGTCAGACATCTTTGATAACATCAGACGGTCCATCAGACCACTTGCCCATATTCTTCTGACAGCACATTCTTTGGCTTCTGATTTAAGAATGGTTTTGAGGAAAAGACAAGTTCTTTTTGCTTAACCCCAGCAAGGGGAGAAGGAGCTCAGGCACTGAGCAATGCGGAGAAAATGCGGGAACTGCCTCGTGTCTCTTCTCTCAGCAACCGTGTTTGAAGGGAAAGAACACTGAGGATCTGAGAGAAAAGTAGCCCATAAGTTTGTGACAAATGCCAGGTTCAGGGGAGAACTGAAAAATTCCGTTCTGGCCTGCCAGGAGGGGGTAAGGATCCTCACCCCTTTGAGCTGACTCATAGCATAGGAGTGTAGGGAAGGAAGATGATTATTCTTTTCATGGAAACCCCAGCAGACAGAAGCATACCTCTTATAAAAATGTGTGCGACCCTTCACATCCAAACACATGGATCCGATACAAACACATGTACTCACGCATTAACTTGTTTCTAAATTCTGGCAATTCTTCCCCTTTCATACCTACATGCTACACATATACATTGTTATAAACACGCATATTTAACATGTATTCACAGGCACACATATACATCAGGTGTGTACTCATACTGCAAAGACGTTTATATGTTTATACTCTAACATATGCATATACACAAGTATGAACATGTATACGCACCTATAACCAACACAAACATACACATGTGTGTACGATACGAACATGCATATATGCACATGTAATCAGCACACATGTACACAGACATTCATGCATGTACGTATGCATGTGCCCAGGAATGTCCTCATGCTTACTACTGCACAAACGTATGTGTCACTGTGCATATTCACAAAGACATATACACATGCGTATACACACAGAGATGCATGCACATCTATGCACACATTATATGCCCAACAAAGAGGCATGTATGTTTATAAATATGCATGCATACGCTCACACATATTCCTACACACTGAGACACATATTCATAATTCTATCTATATACGCACATACAAACAAACACTTCTGCACAGTGAAACATATTCGTAGTTCTCTCTTCACACATACTTGCGCACCGATTTAGGCATTATTCATAAATACACACACAAGCCCACATTTTGCTTGTTATGTTTTTGTCAGAACTTCCACTCTTGTTCTGCCCTTTTCCTTTCTCTCTCAGTCTCATTATTATGTAGAGCTCTCCCTCAGGGTGAGCAAATGTCCCAGTTTGCCCAGCTCAATCCAGGAGTGCACCCATCTTCTGAAAATGGTACTGAGATTGCCCAGCTATCTCTCAGAGGCATCCTGGGGTGGGTGAAAGACTGTGACAGCCTCCTGCAGGGAGCACTGATGTCACCAGGACAGGAAGCTGGCGTGAAAGCAGGAGAGTGCTGCAGCACCTATTCTTCTGCCCTGGTAACACTACAATTTGGATTTCAGGATCTGGCTCCTGGCTCAGAAGGTGATAAGAACGATGCCGTCTCCCAGCCAAGCAAGCAGCCAGACTCTGGGAAGCAGGGGCTTGGCCCCCTCAGCACCCCTGTCCCTGTGCACACTGCTGTGAAGGTATGGACTGCTCTAGCCCACAGCCTTTGCCTGAGGCCAGGCTCACTGAAGCCATGCGAAGCAGAGCTTTTCAAGTCAGTTCTGTTGACATGAGAAGGCTTACATGGACCTACACACAAGTTTAGCCCACTAGAAATGTCACAAGGGGGACTATACCATCTGTGCATACACTTTCAGCACTGAGGAATCCTGTATGTATCACTTTGGGAACAGAGCTCATCCAGCGAGTGTCTGGATTGGATTTCATTTGCCAGGCAAGATAGTACATACCTGTAATCCTAGCCAGCACTCAGAAGGAAAAATAGTGGGTTCATGGTCAGCCTGAACTACACAACACAAAATAAAAAATGATTCCCAAGCTACCCTGAAGAAAGGCACGGCTGACTAACACACACAGGACTTAAAGGGGCCATAAAACACTCCCAGAGCAGTAGTATTTATGTGAAGGGAGCAGCACTGAAGCCTTGGGTATTGCAAGAGCCCTAACACACGTGGGAAATGAGCAGGGGAGGAGTTACAGTCACAGGCGATGGCCAGAGGTCGCTACTGCATTTTATACTTAATTTCCCCGGCATTGCATCCAGTCATTGCGGAGTACTGTCTCCTAATTAACCACTGGGTAGTCATTTGGCTTTTTTATAATACTCTGTACCAGCCCACTTCCCCCGGACCTGGTTGGGAGCACGTTTTTGTTTTTTTGTTTTTTTGTTTTTTTCAGCTCTAGTTCCACCTTTGGTATCTGCTGACAACACTTATGGGAATTTGTTAAGCTGTAAATTAAAGTAATAGCCAGTGACAAAGTAATAGCTTCATCATGCAAGTAGATGGCATTGTGCTCGTTAGATGGAGGAGGAAATAGTTTAAGGCTGTGTATAAAGAGGAATTATAGTGGTATTGCTAGTCCAGTATTTAAATTTTGCATAATTCAAATTAGTAAAATTGTCAACTTCCCCATACCATGAAGGTGTGCTAGGGGCCCAGAGTACTACGATGAAGATTTGTCTCCAGTAATTTGGTAAAGGTGTGTGTGTGTGTATGTGTGTACATGCACACAGATTTGAGTCCGTTCTGCATTAGGAAGTCCTGTGAGTTGCAAAGACAAAAGCAAACATGCAAATAGAGCCCAAGTATCCCTGTGCTCACAGAATGAATGAACCCATGCAGTTGTGTTAGGCCAATAATGTTTGTCACACACTGTCTTCTGGGATGTTCCTGGCACCTATACTAAGGCATCTACCTATACTAAGGGGAACTAAGGCATCTTCAGCACCCTTGAGTCAACAGCAAAACAACCCTACCCCAGTCAAAGCCAGCCTGAGGGGATGAGGTCTGAGCAGCAGCTAGGCCTGGGAAAACTGGTCACTGGACCCTGCAGAAACTGGACCAGCACAGAAGTCTGACTAATTAACCAGAAGGCCAGTCGATTAGTGAGTAGAGAGAAATCAAGCCACCAAGCCCACAGTATACTTCCATTTATTATCCAGCAGTCTCCAAGAGGAAGACTCAGAAAACACAAGTGCCTGCAGCTATAGGGTGCCTGAGTCCGAGTAAGCAACATTGTAGGTTCCCTGGCAGTCACGCTCAGATGTGATTCTTGCAATAAAGTCTGGAGGCTGGCCCTGGACACTGAGCCTGCCAGCTATTCAGGAGCTCCCTCTTCTGTACAATAGTGGTACTGCGCTTCCCTTCCAAATTGACACCAATGCTTTCAACCTTTCAACCTCCTTTAATAAAATCCAGTTTGGATTTTTTTTTTCTACTGGATAATAGACTTATTGTACCTTAGTATATGAGGGCCTTTTGATTTCCAGAGAAGGTTATGTATAGAATTGGCCTTCAAAAGGATGCTTTTTATTTTTATGATCTTTAAAAAATACTGTGTGTACATGGATGTATACCACAACACTTGCATACATGCAACATCATATGTATGGAGATCAGAAAACAGCCAGTAGAAGCCCAGCATTCTGGAGTTTGGGACTGAAACTCAAGGCTTGGCTTTGCCTCCTAAGTCAGGTCCTATCTGTCTATGCGCTTTATATTGAGCACTAACATGCAAATTAAATAATATTTTCTGGGAGCTGGAGTGATAGCTCAGTGGTTAACAGCACTGGCTGCTCTTCCAAAGGACCTGGGTTCAGTACCCAGCACCCATATGGCAGCTCACAACTGTCTGTAACTCCAGGGATCTGACATCTTCACAGTAATGCACATTAAATAAAAGTTAATAAACAAAAAATATTTTCTCCATCTTACATGTGGTGAAATTTAGACATAGTAAACTTACGTATAATATCCATGTTTCTTTTCATTCCCAAAGTTGTGCCCTGAACTTCCCACACTGTGCGCATACCAGAGTGTGTGATGTGTGACTCCTAGAAAGGGCGCAGCAGGCGAGTAGCCCTCCCCATCGTGAAAAATCAGTAATTCAGAGGGCACGGCTTCCTTCTGTGCATGGGTATTTTTGAAGGTGAGGGAAGGCCAGGATGCAGGTGTGTGTGGGTCTGAGAACCTCATTCTGGATCTGCAGCGACAAGGTTAACTTCATCCAACTTCGTGTCCTCAGCAAGTCAGCTTGCTGTGCGTTCAACTTGAGGCTTGCACACACTCTCAGGAGCGATCTCACATCACAGTGCTGAGCTACCTATAGGTTTTACAGAAGACATTGAAACGCGGGCTTCCATCGGACTCCATACCAGGGAAGCTCCAGGGGCCCCTTGTAAGGTGGAAGGTGCCCAGGCCCCGTGACGATGAGGGTTTAACAGCAGATCTGTTCATCTGATATCTGAACGCTGTGGGAAACTGTGTACCAGGCCAGATTTGAGGAAAACCTCCTAGCTATCACGAAAACACAGGCCATGTCTCCCTTCTGTTTGCAGTCCAAGTCTTTGGGGGACAGTAAGAACCGCCACAAAAAGCCCAAGGACCCCAAGCCGAAGGTGAAGAAGCTCAAATACCACCAGTACATCCCCCCAGATCAGAAGGCAGAGAAGTCGCCCCCGCCTATGGACTCCGCCTACGCCCGGCTGCTCCAGCAACAGCAGCTATTCCTACAGCTACAAATCCTCAGCCAGCAGCAGCAGCAGCAGCAGCAGCAACAGCAGCAGCAGCAGCGGTTCAACTACCCTGGGGTGCACCAAACACACCTCAAGTGAGTGCTTCGAGCTGGGGTGAGGTCTTCTGGGCAGAGGTAGAGGATGGCTTCTCTGTCTGAGGCTTGGGAGCAGTGTAGTCTGTATTACACTGCGTCCTTGTCTGGCATTTTTGGACCGTGACTCTCTTTAGAAACCATGCACACATTCTCAGAACCATAAGGGTAACAGGAAGCAAATAAATCAAGGTTCTTTAGAGGAAAGGAAAACTCTTAGCATTTCCAAACAAAACTGGGCAATGTCTGAGAGTGCAGAACTGACTTTGCTCGAGGTCACTGCTAAAAAGCTAAGCGACAGCTTTGGAGACCAGTCCCTGGGCCCAGGCTGTGTGTCTGTATTACAAGGTCCTGTTCATACCTAGGTGGTCAAAATCCTGTCCCATAAAGTTAAGCCAAGGATTGTTTCACCTGCTTTTGGCCGCCCTTGGGCCACAGTTTCAATCATATCCAAAGCAGAGTGTGACCAAGAAGTACAAGGCGGTCTCGGGCCCCTCCAGAATAGCGCCTCGCCTAGGTCCCGGGTAGAACTGCATGCTTCTCCTTACCCCAGTCTCCATCACCCCCTTTCTGTGTCCTCAGAATGAAGCTGGGAGGTTCTCTGCAAGTTGCTGTCTAGTTCAGGCTATTGTTTCTCCCATCTTCTTCTACTGATTTGTTGCCTGCCTGATCCTTGTAGGCAATTACTCTGTGATTTGTTCTAAACTTCCCCCACACTGGTCTGATTATATCTGTAAGTGCCTCTTTGTTTTTTCAGAGAACCAAATGAATCGATGGTCAGAAATCCGAATTCTTCCTCAACACCACTGAACAACACCCCCCTGTCCCCTGTCAAAACCAGTCTTTCTGGACAAACTGGTGTCTGTTCTCTCAAGCCAGGCCCCCTTCCACCAAACCTGGATGATCTCAAGGTATACGATTTGACGTGATTTTTTTCCTTTTCTTTTTCTTTTTTTTTTTTAAAACAAGCATCAGAATCTTTGCTATGTGATTTCTTGAGTAAAACAGTAAAAGAGGGAGACAGTGTGGGAGAAATCCAAGGGTGTTGCAGAATGCATGGTCAAACTCAAACCTTCAGGTCCTGCTTCAGCCTCCCCAGAATGTTTGAGCTTCTATTTGCTCTTTTTTAAGTTACTAAGAATCAGTCAGGATGACATAGAAGTGTGTAGCTTATAAAGTTTCCAGAATGTTCTAAAGCAATGGTCAATTTCATGATGAACCTTTGGCAATCTCTGGCAAAATAGAAAAATAGAAACAATGTAGTTAAGAACAATCCATGTAGCTAATGTGTCCATCTTGCTTCCTAATGTTTTTGAGTTTTAAAATAGCCTTTCTATTAGAAAATACTGATGGAAGTTGAGTGGTTTTAATTCATTTTATCCAATGAAGATGTTGTTAAATATGTATCTTGGTCCTCACTGAATAAGACACATTGTTAGTAAGCCACTAACAACAATATAATTTAAAACAAAATCCTGTTCTTTTGTGTTCCCAAATCTGGGAACTTATGTACTGAAGTGACAGTTTGTTGAATGGCACAGACCTGCCAGCAGCTTATCACAAATTACAGACCATGGGGATCTACATTCACTGAAATCACATTGGATTTCTAGTTGAAACTGGTATATTTCAAAGCAGTCCTTGAGACTGACATGCTCACCCTTCTGTCCAGTATCCACATCAGGACTGAGCAAGATGGATCCAGTTTCTGCAGTGTAGGAACACAACCACCACCACCCCCGCCCCATTACACTGTCAGGGATTTCTACCTTGTAATTTTTTTCTTCTTTAAAATCCTCCATCCTTCATGATCCTCATAGCCTTCATTGGGCCAATCCTGGCCATGTTCCCATTATCAGGCCTTATTATTACCCTCATTTCCACCCTTTACCCCCAGAGAGCAATTTGGTTTATCTTTTTTTGTGGCAGTAGTAGAACTACTCCAATCTGAAAAACATTCCATGGCTGCCAAGAGCCAGTAAGATACATCCTGATATCAAAGGCTCCCCTGTTTCTTCTACAGGTCACACTCGGCTTGTTTTTGTCTGGTGTCTCCACACCTAGGTGAAGGTGATAAATGTATAATAGCACTCTCCGTAGCCATGAGGTCAGCTCCTCCATTCCTCAAGTCATACATACACAGAGATAAGAGATGTCATCTTGCCTTGAAGACATTATGCTAAGTGAAATGAGCCAGGTGCAATGGGCCAGATGCCTGGTGGGTTGTCTTAAGTCACACCTCAACAGGTGTAGAGACAGAAAGTAGAAGAGAAGTTACCAGGACCATCTCAGAAGTACCATAGGGAGTCACTGCTTAACGTGGACATCGCTTCAAGCTGGGGTGATGAGAAAGCTCTGGGGAGAGAAGGCAGCATGGATGCGCTTGCTGAAGGCTAAACTTCGCAGGCAGTAATGCCAAGTGCTAAACTTCGCATTATGTTTATCTCGCCATAATGAAATTGTTGTTATTATTTATATTTGTTATTATTACTATGTGCAGCTAAATAATGAAAGCGTAAGGGTCCTGGATTATGTAGGGCTGGAGAAGCCCAGAGAAAACATAGTCTAGAAGTGGTGTTGGCATTAGCACAGGAGAGACCCCAAAGGTGGTTCCCCCTGTGTATTCAGGCTCAGAATTGTGCACTGCTGGCAATCATGTGGTCAAGAACATGGCCGTCATGGCGACAGTCGCTAGCATTTTTTCAACTAGCCACTCAGTGTGGATTCCTATTTTGTAAGATCAGTCTTATCAGCCCAGTTTTTTGTTTTTTTTTTTAACTTAAAAATAAAAAGCCAGAGTCTTAAAGAGATTCAATTACAGGCGGGTTAGTCAATTTGTAAGTGGTGAAATGGGGCTCCGGTTTAAGTGACCGATCGCAAAGGCTCTGCCATTACTGTGGAAGCTGAGACTAGAAAGAGTGAAGGGGGGGCGGCTTGATTCAACCCCTCACTCAGTGTGGGGGGAGGTATGCGCTGAGTCCTGGGAAAGTTACACCAAGGGCAGGATTGCTGGGTTGAAGGAGAAGGATGGGGTTGGAAATGCCGAGTAGCAACCCAGAAAGACCTAGCCCATTTCTATGAAAAGAAACACATTAATCTCATTCAACTCAGCTGTGTGCCCGCCATGGGGTCATAAGCTTTAGAATCCTTTGCTTAAGTGGGGAAAGTCGAACCTAGAAAAGTGAATGAGATCGAGAGAGAGAAAGGAAAAATGAGTGGGAAGGGAAGAAGCGGGGGGGGGGAGTACTGTAGGGCACTCACAGTGCGCTCGCATTTGCAGAGGGGGCAGAATGAGGGGCTCACAAAGGTGATCCTTCCTCCAGATAATTGGGAAGTAACTGAGTATGGGCGGAGTTTCTTTAGTAAAATGTTTCACCATGTAAAAGCAGAGTCTGAGAGGAGTTGGGGTTCTCCTTACAGAGGTGTCCCCTGGGCCTCCTTGGCCAGCAAGTCTAATTTAATTGGGCGATCTCCAGGACAATGACAGACCCTCTCTCAAAAGAAAAAGGAAAATAGAAAAGAAATAGCTCGAAGTTGACCTATGGCCTACACGCACATACACACACACACACACACACACACACACACACACACACAGAGTTATTAGAGGCTTTTCATAGCATATTGACTTTTTAAAAATCCTATTTCTAACTGAATTAAATGTGTGTGAGAGAGAGAGTAAGGGAAGGAACTAAGAATTCTGAAAACTGGGGAATATATTTGATGGAAATTAAGAGAATGCCCATTTTAAGATGATCTATATAGTGCTATTGTTTACGTGTTTAAGAGCGCTTTTCTTTTGGAGATAGTTACAAAGCTGTGCTGCCTCAAACCAATTGAAGAGATGTGAGAAGGAGGGAGGATTGGCACCAGCTGATAGCAACTGAAGTTGTTTGATGGGTGTATGAGAGCTTCAGGCTTTTCTATCTACCTTTGAGCGTGTTAGAATTGTTCCATAATAAATGATTTAAAGTTACCAATAATTAGAACACCAGTGAACGTGGGGAAGAGGTGTGTTTGTTCAAGCCTTCATCTCAAGAAAGCCCACACAGGCAAATAATCCAAGATGTTAAGGAAACTGAACTCAACAAGTATTCTTTTTATTTTAGACTGTGATCTGCATTATTTAATAATGTAGCCTAAATTATTCGGTGCAAGAACAGATTCTAAAAATAAGTGTAGACCTCATTAATTTTAAGTAACTCAAAATTAAAACAATAATGGGTTGCCATCTTGCACTTTTTCAAACCAGGAAATTTGAAAGGGGGAAAAAAACTGTCTAGCAGGACCAGGAAGAGAAGCAGCATGCTGGATGTCAGCAAAAGTGGCTGCGGTGCTTTCCTCAGAGTGGGTAGCTGATTGCAAAGTGACATTTTAAAGTTGAAACCCGATCGTGTGCACTGAAGTAAATGGCATTTTAATCGACAAGAGCCAGAGAAAACATGACGTTATGTTTCTTCCAGCCTGAAGTATATGTGACCACATTATGCTTGACAACAACTACTTTTAAATAATTATGCCGCCCATAAATTTGTCATGCTTTCCTTAACACGCCATGAACATTTCCCATAACTTTTAATATTCAGTAAAAGTTATATTTTTAATAACAGCAAATCACCCCATCACCTGGCTAGCAATCCACTCCTGGACATTTAACTTGCTGCCAAATGTTGTCAGAATAAGATTTTCATGCCCTCTGTACACACATCTGTTATTGACTCTGATTATTTCTCTCAGAAAATGACATACATATTAAATTGCTGATTTAAAATACATTAATATTCTTTTTGTCAGATGTGGTAGTACACACTTTTAGTCCCAACATTCAAGAGGCAGAGGCAGGCAGATCTAAGTGAGTTTAAGGCCAGCCTGGTCTATAAATCAAGTTCCAGGACAGCCAGGGCTACACACAGAGAACCCATGTCTTAAAAAAGCAAACAAATAAACCAAAACCAACACCAAACAAACAAACCAGAACAACATTCCTATCTTTTAAAGTTGTGGAAGGATATTACCAGATTCTTCTCTCCTAGACAGTGTACTGTAGAGCCACGTGCTGAAGCAGCTGCACATGGATGCGCCCTCATGTGTGTGTCCCTGTGTAGGTTAAGAAAGCACACAACTCACCAGCTCCCAGACATTGCATAAACAGGAAGGCAGTAAAGTTCGTCAGCTTGCTAAGATCTTCATTTCCCTGCCACTTTGCTCATATATAAAAAAGCTCCTACTCACTTCTGTCACTGGGTGAATCAAAATATGCCTTTTATTTTAATTGCCCTACTTCGTAAATCACTAATGATTATACACACATATTATGGGATTTTTAAAAAAACTATGTTTTGTTTTTGAAAAGGCTGGATCAGATGCGTTAGGTGTTTTTATATTAGGTCGTGGCCTTTTTCTTCTTATTAATTTTGTTTATTTATCGAATATCTAAGAGTGCTTTGCCCACAAGTATGTATGTGTAGCATGTGTGTGCCGTGTGCACACAGAGATCAGAAGAGGGTGTCAGATCCCCTGGGACTGGAGTTATAAATGGTTGTGAACCACTGGGTGGATGCTGGAAATCAAACCTGGGTCCCGTGCTCTCAACTGAGCCACTTCTCCAGCTCCCCTTTTGCTTTTATAATGATAAGCACACTTGATGTTTTTTTTTTTTCATTTTGATAACTTATTGTTTATGCTGCCATTGATTTCTTTCTAAGCATTGTTATTTTAATTTGCATTTTGTGGATACTTTTGTGATTTATCAAAGTTTAGATATTTGTTGTGGATATATTTTATGATTACTTCATTTGCTTTTATGCCCCAAATCTTTGTCCTACGGAAAAGCTCTCCCTACATATTCTTCTGTTTCACAGAACCATAGGTGTTTAGTAGGCTTTCTGCCTTATCATAAAAGTGAAGTGTCTAAATGGACTATTTAGGAAATGTAGTAAAGTACACCAGCTAACATTTTAGCATATAGTCACCATATATGCTAAATTTAGCATATAGTCACTATATGCTGAAATGTTATAAGCAACATAAGTTTAAATGTAAGCATGCACTATTTAATTTATTGAAAATAGTATCAACTCAAACTTTCTTTTTTTGTTAGTTTTTTTATTTTTATTAGTTACACTTTATTCACTTTGTATCCCCCGTGTAGCTCCCTCCTCCCCTCCCAGTCCCTCCCTCCCTCCCTCTTCTCCATGCATGTCCCTCCCCAAGTCCACTGATAGGGGAGGTCTTCCTTTCCTTCTTTCTGATTCTAGTCTATTAGGTCTCATCAGGAGTGGCTGCATTGTCTTCCTCTGTGGCCTGGTAAGGCTGCTCCCCCCTCAGAGGGAGGTGATCAAAGAGCAGGCCAATCAGTTCATGTCAGAGACAGTCCCTGTTCCCATTACTATGGGACCCACTTGGACACTGAACTGCCATGGGCTACATCTGTGCAGGGGTTCTAGGTTATCTCCATGAATGGTCCTTGGTTGAAGAATCAGTCTCAGAAAATACTCCTGTGCCCAGATTTTTTGATTCTGCTTTTCTCCTTGTGGAGCTCCTGTCCTCTCCAGGTCTTACTGTTTCCCACTTCTTTCCCTGCACTCTGCCCAAAGGTTTGCCATAAGTCTCAGTATCTGCTTTGATACCCTGCAGGGCAGAGTCTTTATGGAATATTAACCAACAATAAAAAACAAGGAAATCATGAAATTTGCAGGTAAATGGTGGGAACTGGAAAAGATCATCCTGAGTGAGCTATCCCAGAAGCAGAAAGACACACAGGGTATATATACTCACTCATAAGTGGATATTAGACATATAATATAGGATAAACCTCCTAAAATCTGTACACCTAAAGAAACTAATTAAGAAGGAGGACTCTGGCTAAGATGCTCAATCCCCATTCAGAAAGGCAAAGAGGCTGGACATCAGATGAAGGAGAAAACAGGGAACAACTCAAACTTTCTTTCCATTAATAATAAGCTATAAACAATTATTCATCATGCAGTGTCAACAAACTTTCATAGCTTTAATCATAGTGGATCTTTGGGACTCCATCATTTGCAGTAATTTTTATTTAATCAGTTCCCATCCCATATATTTCATAGTTTGCAACTTGTAAACATTATAAGAATGTGGCAATTAATTAGTTGCATGTATATCATTATAATAATAGACATATTGCACAACCATTTTTCAGGCACTATTCCAAGTGCTTTTATAAATTCGTGTATACCCTTGCAAAAATGTATAAGGCAGGGATTAACATCCCACTTCAGAAAGAAAGCACAGAGGATCAAAAAGCTAAGAACAGGAAGGGCCTGATTTTTTTCACCATGTACTTTTTTCAATATGCAATTGCTATTCACCTTGTCATGAAAATTAAAACAGATTCAACATAGAGCTTGGCATGGTGAGGTATGTCTGTAGTTCCAACCCTGAGGGGGTGGGGCCAGAGGATTGGGAGTCAAAGGCCAGCTAGACAGATGGAAGATAAAACCCAAACCCCGGAGGCTGAGGAGATGGAGGGTGACTCAAGAGTAGACAACTGGTCTACCAGATGCAAGGCCCTGGGTTCCATCTCTTGAACAGATACTCATTTGTGTTCAGGCACCATCACATATACACGTACAGAACCTTCCCCATTCTTTCCACCCCGAATTATGTTCACATGAAGTCTTGTTCTCAGAGTCTAACCCAACACCAGTGGCATAAATCTCTCCCTGGGGTTGTTACAAACGGGTGATCCTGGTCCCCATCCCAGACCTACTGAAGCCAAACTCCAGGATGGACCCCTATCTGTATTTCCTAGCAGGTACATGTTTAGGTTTGTTATGGTAGAAGAAGCTGGAATGCCTGATAATTATTGTGGATTATTGTTAGACTTGTGTGTCTAAACCTAGGAAGACACCAGCTTCCTACAGAAATGAAGAAGGCTTAGCCCAGGTTGGAGAGCTATGGTTAGGTGACTTTACTCTTGAGTTAAGAAAAGCATTCCCATGATCTTGGCCATAAAAAGACAAGGCACAGATGGCATTCACTACAGGGGCTATCTCTATGTGTGATTATTTTTTATTTACGGTGATGTGAAATGATGGACGTCCTATACATATCATACTTGAACTGATTTTCGACTCCTGAGTTAGTGATAGCTGTCTTTTCTGTCGGGCAGCAGGGGTGGCCTCTGGGTCCAGTATGGCCCTATAGTCATGGGAATGGCTGATGCTCTGTGCATCAGTAAGCTCAGCTGGCTTACTCCACAACTTAGGCGTATTCCCTGTGTTTTTAAAATTCACAATATTTTCACATTATAACGGACTTACTAGGAGATTAAGATTTGTTTTTTTTTTTAAGAGTTGGTAAAATTGGTTTAAATCTGAGGCAGAAGTGAAATTACAAAGAAATATTAAAAGAGAAGTGGATAGACATTGTAAAGTTCCCCGGGTGAATCACAAAGCTCCCCTGATAACAAATACAAATAGACTGTCGCCCGACACTTCACTAATGGAGCCCTGGTTCCCTTAGGTGTCAGAGTTAAGACAACAGCTCCGAATACGAGGCTTGCCGGTGTCAGGCACCAAGACGGCGCTGGTGGACCGGCTTCGACCCTTTCAGGATTGTGCTGGCAATCCTGTGCCGAACTTCGGGGACATAACGACTGTCACCTTTCCCGTCACGCCCAACACCCTGCCCAGTTATCAGTCCTCCCCATCAGGCTTCTACCACTTCGGCAGCACCAGCTCCAGCCCACCCATCTCCCCCGCCTCGTCTGACCTGTCGGCCGCAGGGTCACTGCCAGACACCTTCCCCGATGTGTCACCTGGCTTCGGCCTGCGTGCGTCCCCGGTGCCCGCCTGCACCGATGAGAGCCTGCTGAGCAGCCTGAACGGGGGCTCCGGGCCCTCGGAGCCTGACGGGCTAGACTCTGAGAAAGACAAGATGCTGGTGGAGAAGCAGAAGGTGATCAACCAGCTCACCTGGAAGCTGCGGCAGGAGCAGCGGCAGGTGGAGGAGCTGAGGATGCAGCTGCAGAAGCACAAGAGCGGCTGCGGAGACCAGCAGCCACTGCCCTTCCTGGGCGCCACCATCAAGCAGGAAGACGTCTCTAGCTGCCCCTTCGCAGCCCAGCAGGCATCCGGAAAGGGACAGGGCCACGGCTCCGACAGTCCCCCTCCGGCCTGTGAGACTGCTCAGCTGCTGCCTCACTGTGTGGAGCCCTCAGGTCCAACCCATGTACTCTCATCCACATTCCTCAGCCCCCAGTGCTCCCCTCAGCACTCGCCCCTGGGGACCCTGAAGAGCCCGCAGCACATCAGCCTGCCTCCATCACCCAACAACCCTTACTTCCTGGCCTCATCCTCTGGGGCTCAGAGAGAGAGCCATGGGGTCTCCTCACCTAGCAGCAGCCAAGGGTGCGCGCAGGTAAGCACGAATGGCCTCGCCGGGGTTGGATCTTTCAGAAGGCAGGAGGTGGACTGCCACCACTAAAGAACTGTGAAGGGTTTCCTAAAACCTAGGCAGCACCTCACTAACTCTACTTAACTGTCCTCAAGCCTTCACCGCCAGCCTTTGCATCACCGGTTGGCAAACTTGTTCTATAAAGGCTTGGGAGGCAAATGTCTGGAGATCGTAACTTCTGTGCCAAACTCCTTATCTTCACCCTTGTAGCTTTTGAGTGCTCATAGACAGCTTTGCAACAATGTATAACTTTCCAATATAATGTTATCTACGAAACCAGGCCCTATTTATGTGCTGCACTCTGCGGGGGGCGGGGAGGGGGGTTGAAGGGAATGTGAGGAGTGCTCTTTAGTCCTTGAGGAAGACAGGAGATAGATAGGTGCTGAGGAAATAAATGGTCCGTCTTGTAGAGAAAGTGGAGGGACTGGTTTGCATGAGAAGGCTGAAAGGTTACAGTCTGCACTAAAGGGTCAGGAATGTTGAAGAGAAACCTTGAGCGAGGTGCAGGAGGAAACACTGTTAAATATTTGGGATGGAGGCTCGGGAGAAGCATCAGGTGAAAGGGCCCTGGGGTTAGAACATAAGTGAAATGCAGAAGGATCAGAAAGAAAGCCAGAGAGCTGAAGACCTGTGAGACTGACAGTTCAAAAGAGTACACCCAACCTGGTAGCAAAGACTTTCCTTTGGTTCACAAAACTAATAGGTTATTAGGAAAGTGCACAGAAGACCGTCCGAAGAAGAAAGCCACATTGTCAAAGAGTGTAAGATCTAAGACAGCCCACACTGATCCTCACTGATTACCTGCCAAGCACCAACTCATGAGCAGGAGCCATCTCTTTCGCTGTCACAGCAACCTGATGGCTCTAGTTTAGTGGTTTCGTTCACCATTGAGAAAAATGAAACCCAGGAATTAAAACTGCCTAGAACCCCAGGGTTGGCTGGTTTTTAAGGTTCATAGTGAAATACTGCTCCCCCGAGGGTGTGAAGCATGGCCGGAGGTGATGAGGGCACACTTTCACAAGCCTACCTGAACAACACGTGCACACCAGCCGTGCCCACTCCTGCGAGGGCATACTGGAAGGAACGGGGACTAAAACAGGGTATCAGCGCTGTTCCTAAACATCCACTGCATTCACAGTGTCTAGGCAACAAGGGTAAAAATAGCCCCTGGGACACGGCTTGGGGTGTGATTTCACACTTCGAGGATATCAGTGATAATGGGGAGAAATAAGATAGTGCGATAATTTGTTGTTTACAAAGACTCTATAAGACAGTAGCAATTTCGTGAAGAGCAAATAACATGGCTGGCCTGTGGCATTAAACCATGCAGCACAGAATACATGGGTAGGGAAGAGCTTAATGGTAAAGAGCTAGCAAAGCCCTGGAAGGCACTAAAAAGACACTAAAAACAAGAAGCCTAGGTCAGGAGTTCAGCAGCCTTGTCTTTTGTCCATGGAGCTAAAGGTTTTTAAGAAAATCTAACAAAGCAGATATCCCGTGTGAACTAAAATAAGTAGGGCAAGTGTATACGGCATGGTTACAGGAGGAGAACTTAGGTTCCTAGAATTAAGTAATGCCCACAGTCATGGAGAGCTTTGAACACTTAGACAGGTGAGATGTTCAGAGTCCATGTTGTTGATACATGAGAGCTAGTGGAAGTTTGTAATCCATAGGAAATACAAGCAAAGCCAGATTTTAGATACTCTCACCTGCTAATAGAAAACCTGAGGGCAAAACACAGGGGCCAGAAGTGTCAGCTAAAGCCACACTCAAGTGTGCTGTTAGGTCTTTAATCTGTCACGTGTTCCTTTTTACAGAACTCAGGGGCACACGAAGGCCATCCTCCTAGCTTTTCTCCTCCATCTTCCAGCCTCCACCAGCCCTTCTCTGGCACCCAAGCAGACAGCAGTCATAGTGCTGGGCTCAACCCCTGTCCCAAAAGCCCAGTTATTCATCCAAAGGTCAGTACCGGAGAAGTTGACAACAAACCTGTTTCTGTGAGGTTGAGGATTGAAATGGAGCCTCCAGGGATGAATAGTGCTGGAGACAGAGATGGGCACATAACAGATTCATGTAAAGACATGGAAAACTGGGGTCCAGAGCCAAGTCTCTGTAGAGGATATAAGAGACGTTGCTCATAAGCTGGTGACAGGAGTGGGGATGTGACACTTGAGGATGTGGCAAGCTCCCAGAGCAAGAGAGTGGTAGGAGAAGGTGGAGGTGGCATACCTGAGCCCCATGCCTGAAGTCGGCAAAGGAATGGGCACTCCCACAGGCCAGGCACCCATGGAAGGCCACCCTCATGGTAACTGTGTGACAATGGCCCATTTTGGAATGAATTGACCCAGGGAATGAACTGCTCTGAAAGTTCATGGTTTGAAGAACTCCTCTGCATTAGACTGAGCTCATGTCCCTTTCTTGTCATGTAGTAGAGAAGGATTCACCTGCTAGGTGTGGCAGCACACACCTTTAATCCCAGCACTCAGGAGGCAGAGGCAGGTGGATCTCACAGAAGCTTTAAGGCCAGGGTGGTTTACAAGTGAGTTCCAGGACAGGAGGGTTACACAGTGAGACCTTGTCTCCAAGAAACAGAGAGAGAGAGAGAGAGAGAGAGAGAGAGAGAGAGAGAGAGAAGGTATACCTCAGGTATATAAATCAGGGAGTTCCACTAAGACTTCACTAACAATAAACCCACAGTGCACAAACTGCTGTTAGCCTGTTAGTGTTGTTTACTATCTTCTCATCTCCAGCTTATGTGACTAGTATTTGGCATCTTTCTCAATGCGGCCTGTGGTTTCTAGAACACAAGCATCGTCCCTTGGGACCCATGGAGTGAATGTTGTTCTCCGTATTGTATCCACTTGCAGGCAACTGGTTTACAGTCATCTGACAAGGTGGGGCCAAAGTTTTCAATTCCATCCCCAACTTTCTCTAAGTCAAGTTCAACGGTTTCAGAGATAACCCAGCCCCCGTCCTATGAAGATGCAGTAAAGCAGGTAATCATGAGGCTGGTTCTCTCCGGTTCAATAACAGGCTGAGAAGGCAGAACTTTGTAGTATCAGGCATTGTGTGTTTTGTGGATTCTGAGATTGAATGGGCTGAGTGTCTCCTCAAAAGAGTGAACAAAGTATGTCCATATGAGCTGCAGATAGTGCTATATGTGCGTGCAGATAGCTCCAAGTTAGGATGGCTCTGCTGATGACTTTTCCTATTTTATGGTACACCATTTTATATGGTGTTCATTCAGTCCAGATTACATTTTGAATGTGGGCTTTATCATGAGCTGGTAGCGTGTGGTACAGTGTTCTGGGTTCTGGGCAGGCACAGTGAGCCACGATTCCCAATCAACCGTCAATCGCAAGAGAAAACAGGTGATCTCTAGCATGCTGTGTTGTTGAGCTAGGGTATGCAGTGGGGTTCGCGTGTGTAATGCATTTTGGTCTGTTAGTTTATTTAATATTAGTTTACAGTGTCTTTACCTAGCTGTAACACCATGGTAACTGAGGAAGGCTCATAACAGCTGAACGATTCAGGGAGAACGGGCTGAGCAGGTATTCACAAGGCCCGGCCTTAGTGCCAACTCTGTCACCTGCCACCGTCACTAAGGTTGGATAATCTAGTACTTGCCTCATCATATCGTCACATGATAGGTGCTCATCTATTGTAAGAGCAATTATGAATACTTTCCCAACTTCTTAGCTTTAAAACTCGATGACCTTGATGCAGTGTTGATGGCTATTGAACTTGAGTAGCAGATGCAGGGAAGTTCGTGGACTCCAACAATTACATCTGTGCTCAAAGAGCTTCAGAATTTTAAAAGCAAGAAAAGGAAAAACACGGATGATTTTACAGAGTCAGCCCTTGATGTCTGCATCCTGCCAGTCATGGAGTGAACGCATTAGGGAAATAAGTCCTGAAAATTCTCACAGGCAACCCCTGGACTTGCTGCATGCCAAATGTGATGTGGAGTCCATCCAGATGAAAGGGCTGTCTGTCTTGCGTTGAATCAGCCTTTGGCCACTTCACCATTTCACAGATCGCTGGTCTCCCTGGCATGCGCATCGGAGCATCAGGAGTCAAATCTCACATGCTGTGATAGGCACGTAACCATTCCATCTGTATTGAGCACATGTCCTTTCTTATTGTCACTGGTCCCCAAGCCACACAGGACAGTAACTGTTCTTATGGCATTTACATCATATTAGGTAGAAAGCTCCAGAGATGACTTGCAAGGCAAGGAGACTGCTGTACGGTCTGTGAAATTACTAAGTCATTTTATAGACTTGACTATCCCCTAAAGGTTTGGAATCCAGGGGTGAGGGCTCCTGGAAATAAGGCCCTGAGGATACTGAAGGATGTGTAGTTCAAGTAGTTAGAGCTTATGTGACAGCAATATCTTTGTACCCAACTCAGAAAAGAGCATCCATGTCAGATGCTGCCTGACCTCTGCTCCCCTGAAATCAGAACCAAGGCAGATATCATGCCAAGTAGGCTTTGTCATTTCTGAAAAACTCCGGAGAAGCAAGGCTATGCTTAAGAACTCAGATGAGCAGAGGCAAGGACAGACTCCCAGATTCTGCAAAACGAACCAAGATACTGAAACCTACTTCCTGGACCACATCAAACAGCAACCAAACAGAGGCGGACATGAGTGCTTCCAAAGTGAGAAAGGGCTATTTGCTTGTATTAAGGTGCCTGGACCTGCAATGGAAACTTCCCAGACAGCTGACCTGAATCAGAAGCTGAGGATCACTCTCCCATCTTTCTCATTCTCGTTTGTTGGCTTGGATTATTGCCCAGTAGATTATCTGTGTATGATTTACACTAAGATTTAATTAAACACAGACCGAAGCCCTTTAGCCGGTCTAACTGAGCTCATAATGATATTCTTCACTTCAGACAGAAGTAGACACAGCTCAAGTGTCCAACAGGCAAATTAAAATCAAAATGTGGGTAGAGTCACACAGCAGAGCACCATTCAGTTCATGACCAAGAGAGGTCATACTTGTAGAGGCAGGAAGGAGCATGGTGACTGCTGGGGTTGGCAAACAGCATTGAAAGTGGTGTTTAATGGACGTAGAGTTTTAGTTTTGCAGGTTAAGAGCTCGTGGGTACATAGTGTTGATGTTTGTATTTAAAAGTGAATGTATACTTTAAAAGACTAAGCTTACAAGTTTTATGTTATGCTCTATTGTACTATGCTTTTTTGAACCCTTCAGCAAGCGTAGTTCAAATCCCCACAATGCTGCTTCTAGTGTCTCCACACAGAAGTAAGTGTAGCCTTCTAACCTCTCTGCTCTCTTTTTGCTAACTGCAATAGCAAATGACTCGGAGTCAGCAGATGGATGAACTCCTGGATGTCCTCATCGAAAGTGGAGGTGAGACTGCCTTGCCCACTGTCCGTCAGGCACCTCCACCTGTGCGTATTCTAGGACATTGCCTCTTATGTCCAAGGTCAGGCACACACTGACTCAGGTACAGCAGGTGGTCTGTTGTTAGAGTCACTTCCTCTGAGCTTCAGATGTGATTTGTCAGAGAAGAAAACCCACAGTGGGTGATTCCTCACCACCTTTATCCTAGGAGTGCTTTGCATGTCACCTTCAACTCATCCCTGTCCCTGTAAGTGTGTTCTGTTGCTACATCATTTTTTCTGCTGTCTTCCTAATTACAAAAAGAAAAAGGAAAAAAGCAAGAAGTTAGTGAAAGCATTGTGCTTGCTATTCAAACTCAATCAGCCATCTCCCATTGGATGACCCATTCATGCTTAAATGTTACTCAAGTTAGCAATAAAGGCAACCAGTGTGTTCTTCAACTCATTCATTCATTCATTCATTCATTCATTCATTCATTCATTTACTCATTCATTCAAGAAACATTACAGAACCAGAGGTCTTAAGGAGCATGTGTGAAGGTCAAATGAGAACACAGGGCTGAACCCTTAATCAACAGCATTTGAAGTTTAACAGGAGGTAGCAAAGGACTCACAGATGGAATGCCAGGAACCATGTTAAGCTCAGTTCTCCAGCAGATAATTCCTTGTTTCTGTGGGATATAGTCTGGTAAGGGAGATGGACAGTGAGCAATAACCCTGGTGTTTGTTTCTTACCATGACAAGAAGGAGAATGAAAGGGGTAGGGACAGGTGTGTGTGTGTATTTGAGTATCATGATGGAAGATGATTGTCCATACTAGCTGTTCCTCCTTTTTGTTGAAGTAGGGAGACAGAATAGTGAGGACACGAAGGGAGTGTGGGAGAATCTAGGAATGGATAACTACGAGTTAGCCATGAATGAGTGGAGTTTTATAGAGAGAGGCAAGTGTGTAAGGTAGAATTAAATGCAAGTAGAGAGCCTGGTGTCATCAACTGAAGGTGAATGCATCCTGCTCATTTGTATTACTGTTCTCAGGTAACTTGGAGCAGGCTAAGAGAAGGTAGATGAGAACTTATTGGGACAGAGAGTTTTGCTAAGCTAAGAGAGAAGGGCAAAGAGGTAGAAATGACTGTAACAGCAGATCAGAGAATATGGTCCAAAAAAAGGGAAAGAAGCGATGTGGGAGGTACTGACATGCAACGGTGAAATAGTACAACCAGTGGCTTGGGTGCCTCAGAGTGGTTTAGACAGAGTTGACCTGGAGTACTTTATGCATGAGCTGGAGGGGGGAAAGGAAAAGGACAGACAGTGGGAAAACCTGCTTAAGACAGAGCTCTTGGAAGGGTGGGCTGTGCAAGGATGAGGTTCCAGGTATCCAATAGAGTGGGGATGCTGGCATCACTGGGGTGGATGGGAAGGACAAGGAACTGAGAAGCCAGCATGAGCAGTGTGTGATTTCTAATGATACTATAGCCTTAAAAAATAAGAAACACTGACCTGGCAAAATGGCTGTGAACTGGGGGGGGGGGGCGAGTTCCAGCAGCAGAAGAGGGGTGACCAGAAGTCCTAAAGTAGGGAAACAGGCTGCCCTAAAAACCACTGAAGAGTGATAAGAAGGAAGCAGCCATAGAAAAATAGCTGTGGAATGATGGTCATCCTCACTTGCTACCCATCAGAGAGTATGACAGAGATGCCATGTCCTCCCATGGCAACCAGTGATGGTGAAGGGAGCAAGGAAGCCACTAGAGAAGAGTTTGAAAATAACAGAGTGAATGTTCCAAGGCAGGGGTATCTGGGGAAACTTTAGGAAAGAGGAAACGGAGAGACAAAGCAGGTAGAGGTAAGGCCAGGGTTAATTGCTGAGCAGGGAAGCATGATCATCTTCTCTGCTTTCCTCAGAGAACCTCATTTATTCCAAGACTCATCATGTGGCATGGCCAGTTGGGGGTGATTTAACAATTCGCACTGTGTTTTGCCAACAGAAATGCCAGCCGATGCCAGGGAAGATCACTCATGTCTTCAAAAAATTCCAAAGATGCCCGGGTCCTCGCGCAGCCCTCCTACCACCCTCTCCAAGCCCGCTGCTTCCTTTGATCAGGCATCCTCAGGAGGCCAGATCTCCTTCGATCACTACGCTGCCGCTGACGGTGACGAACACCTAGAAGTCTTATTGAATTCTCACAGCCCTGTAGGAAAGGTGAGCGACCTCACCCTCCTCAAAATCGGGAGCGAGGAGCCTCCTTTTGACGGGATCATGGATGGCTTCCCAGGGAAGGCTGCCGAAGACCTCTTCAGTGCTCATGAGCTCTTGCCTGGGCCGCTGTCCCCTATGCATACGCAGTTGTCACCTTCTTCAGTGGACAGCAGTGGTCTGCAGCTGAGCTTCACAGAATCTCCTTGGGAAACAATGGAATGGCTGGACCTTACCCCACCCAGCTCCACGCCAGGGTTCAGCAACCTCGCCACCAGCGGCCCCAGCATCTTCAACCTCGATTTCCTGGATGTGACAGATCTCAATTTGAATTCCCCCATGGACATCCACTTACAGCAGTGGTGAACACCTGAGGTACAAGAGCCGTGAGAGCTCAATAGGAATTCCACGGGGAAGGCACACAACCAAAGATACTGTGTGATCTAAAAGATACAGGGGGAAAGGGGCGGAGGGAAGGGAGGCTTCTGTGACAATCAACTAGAACAAACAGGAGTCAGTTGTTAAAATGTGTAATGTAATTTCTGCTAGCATTCAAAATGTGCTTTCTCAGAATAAGAATGTCAAAAATGTCTTTCACTGCCTTATCTCATATCAGTATTTTTCTAGCCCACAGTTTGTCCCAGGCATTACTGGGATGTTAGTTCACCCTATAGTTTGTCTCAGGCATTATTGGGACATAAGCCGACACTATGAGCTTTTGTTATGAATTTACTAAACGTTCTGTGGTAGGACAAAGCCTCTAAGGGTATGCAGCGAAGCCAGTCCCCCAGTGGTCCTGGAAGCCATCCTGTGGTAAAGGACGCTTCCCATGTGCCCATTTGTTATCTTTTGGAAGAGCGGGTCCTATTACAGATAGAGTCCTTAAGGCAGAATAGAGAGCAGAACCAATCCATTCCCAGGAAAGCAAAACAACAAAAGAAGTGTCTCTCAACACCCAAGGTGTCTTACTGCACGGGTGGCCACTGACAGCTCACTAGCATTGTCCACACAGTGCACCCAGAATGTGTTGCTTTTAAACCCAATTTTTTCTGCCAATTCTATGCTCATCAATGGTGTGCAACAGGTAAAAAAACAAAACAAAACAAAACAAAACAAAAAACTTGAAAAGAAAAACAAAAACAAAACTTCATGCCATGGTCAGACTCCTGAAGCTCTCAAATACAACTCTCTCTAGTTCCAAAGACTAGAGAGAGGCAACCAGAAAGGCAACTGGAGGCTTAGGGAGCCATACTGGGAAGTTAGAAATAGAAAACAGTATTATTTAACATTCCAGGAAAGACGTACTATGGGTTGCTGTTACAGGACTAATATACAGGGCCAACTCCTTTTTCTTCTTCTTCTCTTTTCTTTTCTTATTATGGACATAGGAAGTTCACCTCAGTTTATCTTCCACTCACTACTTTCCTTTCAAGATACCAATCCTTTATGGCTCTTTTGGTTTTGATGAGCTCTTTCTTTCTTTCTTTCTTTCTTTCTTTCTTTCTTTCTTTCTTTCTGTCTCTCTCTCTCTCTGTCTCTCTCTCTCACACACACATACACACAAATATACAAACACACACATGTAAGGGAAGGAGAAGTTTTCAGCTCTAACAAGCTTCCATATTATCAAAGCCATTTTTTGAACATTAAAAGTCTAAACGTTCTTGCTAAATTCATTCTTCACATGCTCATTGGCTGCTAACAGAATTCACAAGAATTTCCTTAGGAAGAAACTGGGGACATGGCTCATTGGTCACAAAGCTTGTTTTATTCATGTTTGATTTATGGACAATCCTTGGTTTGTGTCGCTCTGGGGAAATTGGAAATCATTACAGAGTGAAGATAAATCAGGGTGGCATCTACCACAGAGAGCATTTCAGTTAGGTTTCCCTCCCAAAAAAAGCATGATTGCACTCAGAAAACAATGAGAGAGTGAAGGACTGCTATCTTGATCAGTGCTTCTTGCTGCCCTTGTATTTTGTCAGGGCACTGGGGACAGAGGGAGACAACACAGATTGTCCAAGTCTCGTTGAAGTTCACTGTGGCGCCAGTTCAAGTATTATAATGTTGCATGCTGTAGAAAGTAGCTATTGCTCTTTTTGTTTTGTTTTGTTTTAATTTAAATCACTAAGGCACTGTTTTCTTCTTTTGTAAAGAAAAAGTTCACTGTGCACTTATAGCGAAAATAGTCAACAATGTTGTGAATTTTTGAGAAGTTATCTTTTTGATAAACCAAAGATTTAGAAATCATTCCATTTGTCAACGTGTTAAAAAAAATGTTTGAACACTGAGTGTTTTTTTGTGACTGCTACTCTGGAAGCCACCAGATCTTATTGTAAGGAAGGAAAAAACCAGATGTAGTTCTATACATGTGTGTATGGAGTATGTGTGTACACACGCCCACATATGTGCACGAATGCATATGTGCGCACGTTTCGGAAAGGTGGTATTCGCAGTGCCTTGAACCCTCAGTCTGCTGTGAATGATGCGTGGCCTTTCTCACCGTGAGTTGCTGATGAATCGACCAGACCACACATTGCCTCTCTGTGTATGACTAAGGACTCCAACCTAAGGCTCATAGCCACTTGCTGCCCTGAACAAGCTCCTCTTGGCAATGAATATGGATGTGAGATGTCAGAGCCTGGCAACGAATCTGGACTTGTTAAGACAGAGTGGCTTCACCATCAGTGGCTGCCAAGGCCAGCGCCTCCTCTTACAGAAGAGTCTAAAGGGAGCATGGGATTTGTTCTGACATTCCTCCATCTGTATTATGCCTGAAAGGGTCTTTTCATTGTGTTTGTATGTCTATCATCAGAACCACAAATCCAGAGGCAAAGCTTAGCATGAAGATGAAGCTGTGGGGAGAAATCTTTACTGCCACATTCCAAACATTGGTTTGACCCCGAAGCTGATGTTTCATCTGAGTCTGTATGAAGCTTGCTGCCCTGTACATTTTTCCAGCTGGTTCCAGCTGGACCATGTGTGTTATTCCCTTCTTGTTTCCTTGGAAAACAAACCCACACAGTGCCCTGCCTCCCAGACCCTCATCTGAATGGTAATAATTTTCCCTTTGGGAGTTCCTGTCTGAGTGATTAGACGGCTCTGTTTTTAGCTAGACTGTGGGGGGGGGATTTTTTATAATATTATTCAAACTGATACACACACTTCAAAGTAGACGAAAGGGAAGATGGCTCTGGTTTGCTAGTGTAAGCCAATACAGCTAGATTGGGTCCCTGGATACTTGGTCTCAGCCTGCTCCCACAGTCTCCCCAAGCCATGTGTATCCTGTCTTCATAGCAAAGGTAGGAGATTGGAGATCACTGGGAGAGGCTTGATGAAGATGGATCAAATACTCATGTTCATTCAGCTGTCTCCTATTGGGCTTTTTGTTGTTGTTGTTAGTTTTTTACTTTAGGTTCTTTTAATCAGTCACATCCTCTCGTAATGACATGAGCTAAGAGATGTGTAGAAATGGCCACTCTTGGGTTTAGCAGGGTTCCTAGAGCCTCAAGTGGCCACATATTTAAAAGGCCTGGGATATCCCTGTAGTAAGGAGAGTCTTGGCAGTCATTCCTATGGTGGCTACAGGACAGCAGGTCCCTCTAGATCTAAAGAGTCCAAATTCTTCTTCACCCCCACCCCCATGCAAGTTCTTCCAGTAAACCAGGGCTCTGTAATCATGTTTCTACTTCTAACAATGTTACCAAGACAGTGGAGATAAGGAAAAAGAATGAAGAAGAAAGGAGGAGGGAGAGAAAAAAGGAGGCAGAGGGGAGGAGTAGGAGGGGGCAGAGGAAGGAAGGAAGGAAGGATGGATGGATGGATGGAAGTAAGGAAGCGAAGGGAAGGGAAGGGAAGGAGAAAGAGTGGAGGCAGAGAAAGAAAGGAAGGAGAAAAGAAAATCAGGGCCCAACTTCCTGACCCATAAACCTTATACTATGATGTCATAGTATAAAAAGTAAAACACAAACTCAGAAGAAGAAAGCCTTTCTGAGCAATGGAGTGATTCCACCTGTAAACAGGAACATCACCAGGACCTCTGGAGAGTTCGAGTTTATGAGCTGGCAGGCTTATACCTTTCAAAACCATCAGTTGGGGACAAAAATGAATAAAATCTACCCCAAGCTTTTAAAACAACTTCTTCTCAAAAGTTCTTTATTTTATGTTTGGTCAGCTTTCCTAGAGCCAGTTAGGCTGAAAACTCCCACATGACCTATACCGTCCAAGGGTTTGATGCAGACTGTGAATGAAGGATACAGGCCTTCAGGGGTTGAGTAACCCTTTGGAAAGAAGGAAAGTGTAGAGGGCACACTTTTTGCCTCTATCCCAAGTCACAACACAAGCCCGCAGGGAGGTATAGAGGCAGATACTTGTGAGATTTCCCTAGACAGAAAACATCAACAGACATGGAGAGTCCAGGCCCCACAACAAGATGGTCCCATAGAGCTGAGAGCTGATGAGCTGTGTCCAGAAGCCTTCACCAGGAGAGGACAATCTGTAAGGAAGTGTTTTCAAGACAGAAAGGAGTTTGGAGAGAACTCTGTGGCCATCTGCCAGGGGTATTGGTCTAGGTCCCACTGGATTCAGTGAGCGGGAGTGAGCTCCCTTCTGATCCTAGGGGATCAACAGTCCTCCCAGAAGAGAACCCCTGCAGACTGTGCTGTTCATTCCCACCGCGTGTTCCGACGATGGGCATCAGGAGGCTACACCATTTAGATTGCCTCACCTGCAAAGGGACACAGCATGGGGGTCCAGGAAGCCCGTTAACTGTTTTCCAAGGGAGCAGGACCCACACTGCTCCCAGGGCTCAGTCCCAATGACCTTGTCCAAAGAACCAAGGGCAGAAGTTTGCTGGGAGATGAAATCTAACCCTCAGTGGAACACGAAGCAGTGTTCTGGAAAGAACAAGGAAGCAAGCACGATTCTCTTGGCCCCACCGTGGTGATGTTTTCATGTTGGTCTCCTTTGCTTGGTATACTATGAAAGAAATGTGGTTGGTAGAGCAAGGAAGCAATGGCTAAAATACCAAAGTTGGCATGTGTTCTTTTTTTTAAAAAAAAAAAAACATATATTTTTAAATAAAATGTTTATTTTAACGAGATGTAAGCATTTTTCCTTGACCATATATCCCATGCCTATGTACAATGTTCTTTATACATGTTACTTTGCGTTCTCCTTTCAGCAGCCGGAGAAGGGGTCCCGCTGTGACCCCCATCTTGCAGATGAAGAAACTGAGGCTGAGAGAGGCTAAGTAAATTGTCTAGGGTGACATAATTTATAAACTAGCAGAGCCCAGCATCAGACTTTGACATGTTCACCTCCAAAGCCCCTGCCTGTGCTCGCTGGTGGTCATACCAATGCAATGAACGCTTTCTGGAATAGACACACAATGCATTAACATCC